AGTACAGAATATTCCACAATCACGTATAAAATTCCATGAATACAGAAAACAACGAATACTTACATACAATGTATACACTCATTTGATTCAGCAATATAATACGTATAAAATATAATAAAACTTCATTCAAGTAAAAATCAATATCAAAATGGAACACACAAATATTAACAACACAAAATTCAATTGAAATCAGAGTTACCAAGCACTGAAATATTAAAAAAAACTATTAAATAATTAGATGTAAAAGAATTAATTTAAACTCACTCGAGCAAATAATTATATTTCCATGTAACGGTCCATTAAAAAAAAAGAAAATTTTCTCGAGGCGTGGATGATGCACAGATGGCATCATAATTAAATGCAGAGCCCCCCTCCTGCAACCACTCACCATCCGTTCGTCGCTTACGATCGATTCAAGAAAATTTGTTCGCCCTTACCGTCCTTCGTTCGTCTCCATTCGATCCAGTTTTCCCTCCGATGAAATGCAGTGTTCCGCGAACCGAGGGGTCTTCTCCGCTTTATCCACTTTAATTTTAATGGATCCGCCATTCCGCGAAATTTTCCAAAGGACCCAGTTAAATGGATGTCCCGCCGATCCCCCCCTCCCCCCCAGTGCTTCTCCTGTCACAGACGCGCTGAGTGCACTATATAACGAGGTCCGGTTTCATTCGACGCTGGTAAATGCTCGTCACTCCCATTTACGACTCGTCGATAATGGTGGTTTTCTTTTTTCTTCTCGAGGACGTATCGATGTACAGCTTCGTTTTCTTCAGTATCCAGTGACTGTTTCTTCTTTTTTTAAATCGATATCGGGGGCCACAATATTACTGGTAATTTAACGTGTCAGTTACTTGTTATAATGAGTCAGGAATACGATGATACCGAAAAGTCTCGATAACTGCACGCTGGACGAATGCTCGTTAGGAATAGCTCCTGTTGCTTTCTATAACTAATAATTGGTTGGATTATTTACACTTGATAATTACCCGCTTCTTAGAACGTCTCTAGAGTCCAAAATGCGGGTCCAGTGTATTTTATTGAATTTCGTTAAAGTTTCTCTTGGTATTACGATTTTTCGTCATTCCTCTATCTTTTTTAACACTGCATTTTTTAGGATAAATATTCAACCTGCCACGTTAATATGGTTTTTTGTCTGGATTATGATATTCTTAATTTTTGTAGAAATATACGGGGTGTTCCATGTAAAGAAAGAACCGTGATCTGAATCTTCCAAATTTTCAGGTAATCTCTGACAATATATAGGGTGTTTCATTCAACTCGGTCACTCGACAGGTATTTCAGAAAGAAAGCCTTCAGTATAGTGTATTGTTCTCGACCTCTGAAAGTATAGATACTCTTTCATTTATTGTTTATTTACATTTATTGTGTATTAATATTAATATTTTTCCATATTTTCATGTGATTGTCGAGAAGAAAGAAGCACACTGTATATTTTTGTTTCCTATATTAATCAAGAATATGGTCCCGATTAACTGACTTCACAATGTTATTTATACAGGGTTTTTCATGGAAAATGGGCCATACTATCTAATTTAGCATTGTTAAACTGAGTATATACTAACTTGACAGTAGTATTCATTAACAATATGGTCCTGATCGGTTAATTCAACAAAGTTAATTATACAAGGTTTTTCATAAAAAAATACACCATGCTGTTAATTAATTTAAAATCGTCAAATTTAGTTTTGCATATTTATTTATATTTTCTCTCTAAACTGGAAAATAGAGACCTGAATAATTTGTTTGGTAAATTTGAAAACTCGAGTGGTACTGTATACGTGGAATAAAATTTTAATTTTCTCTTGACACACATTCAGTATGATCCCCTGGTGAAGCGTTTTCAATCGTTATTCACGGATCGTTCAATCACCGCCTCGTGAGCTGCTATCGTTGCACAAGCAGCAATCCAATTATTCCAATTATTGAAATGGAGAAATGTATTTCCGTCACGGTCTGAACTTGTCCAGCGGGATCAGTCGTTGCTGCCCCAGGAACATTAGCCGACGATGTTCCATTAGAGAGAGAGAGAGAGAGAGAGGGAGGAAATATCGGTTTGTCATCTTTATATTTATGCCACAACGTCAAATAGACACTTTTTTTCTCTCGTTTCTTCGATATTATACAGGGAGTTCCATAATAATGTACACGTGACCTTTGGATTTACTTTTTACACGTTCAGAATATACTAACATTGCATTGCCATTTTTTTATTTTAAATGTACTAACATTGGACTAACAATTCTTCTTCTAAATATTTGACGCTGGAAGAAAAATTTTTGGTTCCAAATGTATTAAATTAGTGTAACATTCTGTAATTCTAAATGTACTAACGGTGGACTAACATTTACAAATTCAAAATGTTCCAACGTTGAATTAAATTTTTTTAATTTTAAATGTATTAACGTTAGACTAACATTTTTTTTATTCTGAATGTTCTAACGTTGGATTAAAATTTTTAAATTCTAAATGTACTAACGTTGGATTAAATTTTTTTAATTTTAAACGTATTAACGTTGGACTAACACTTTTATTCGATCTCAATTGTTCATTTAAAACGTATTATAAGAAATTTTGTAATACGTTAAATTTATTATTTACGTATCTAATATGTGATCCATTGTAATATTATACTGCATATTACATTCAGTACAAAAATGTAGTATACAATAGTAATGAAAGGTAGTAGAAAATAGTGGATATAAATTTTAAAATATTTCTTTTAACCGTTTCGAACGATGACGTTTATTGATTACTTGAATTTATCTTCCATGTCATCGATATGTCTATTCTCTTGCCATACGTTTGGAAACGTTGACGTGGATGATCACAATAAGTGATAACCGTGTGTATCTCGATAACTGCATGCCCACGATATTGTCTTTGTCCAGCAAATACCTTATTTACAATAACGATCATATCTTTCCAATAAACGTGCCAACATATTAACAATTAACAATTGTGCAGTATTTCACACTGTTGATGGGAATTGTGGTCATTTTTCGACTATAAAGACGTTTCTGACCTATTGAAACTTTTGAGTCTTTCGAGACTCTTTGAGTTAGTTTGAGACAATAGAGTTTAAGAAATTTTTTTTAAGAACTTTTCAAAAACTTCGAGGAACTTTTGAAGAACTTTGAGAAAATTTTGAGGAACTTTTGAGAAACGTTCGAGAAACTTTTGAGAAACTTTTGAGAAACTTTTGAGAACTTTTGAGAAAATTTTGAGGAACTTTTAGAGACGCTTTAGAGACACTTTTGAGACGCTTTTGAGATGTTTTCTAGATGCTTTTGAGACGTTTTTGAGACGCTTTTGAGATGCTTCTGAGAAACCTTTGAGACCTTTAAGATCTTTGTTTATTTTCGAGGTCTTCAGAGTCTTTTGGAATCGCTATTTTTTCTGAGATTTTTAGAGTTATTTGTAGCTCTGGAAACCTTCGAGGTTTTAGAAGTGTTTTGGGATCTTCAGAGATTTTGAAAATCTGTAGTATTAGTAGAGATTTTTGAGTGCTTTCAGATCTTTGGCAACTTTTGAGATCTATAAAGTCTCTTGAGGCCTTCAGAGTCTTTTGAGGCTTTCAACGTCTTTTCAGGCTTTCAACGTCTTTTGAGACCTTCAGATGTTCGACTTCTCGGATGTTTTGATATTTTTCAGATCTTCCGAGCCTTTTGAGACGTTTCAAGACTTTTGAGACGTTTCGAGACTTTTGAGACGTTTCAAGACTTTTGAGACGTTTCAAAGCTTTTGAGACGTTCCAAGACTTTTTGGAATGTTTCAAGACTTTTGAGGTATTTTTAGACCTTCCATGTCTTTACAGACATTATAAATCTTTGGGGTCTTAGAGGATCTCCCGAAACTGCAAAGATTTCTGGTGACTTTTGGGACCAAGTCTTTACAGACATAAATCTTTGGGGTCTTAGAGGATCTCCCGAAACTGCAAAGATTTCTGGTGACTTTTGGGACCTTTGAGATTTTCCGAGTCTATTGAAATCTGTAAATATCCCTGGACTTCTTTTGCCACTTTTAAAATCTTAGGAAATTTCTGAAGCATCTGCCGACTAATAAATTATACGAAGACCATTTCAAGACCATCAGAAAAATCTCAAAAATATGCTCTACTCCTTTAACCACTCTTCTCCACATAAACCACTCCCAAATGGTTTACATCTCCGACACCCATCATAAATCGCCATAGAAGTTTATTTTTAGACGCTCAACGGCGCTGAGAATCGGTACCGGAAGTTACGAGAACCATCGACTAAAGAATTCCGTCTCGATAACTGATTCTCGATCTCAGACGATTTTTCAACCCCTCGATCGCACCAGTCACGAATCCCTCGAAACGAATCACGTGTCTTCTGTTCCAGATTCACCGGATTACCAACGAAAATGGGCACAACCTAGTCCATCTAAGGGGGGGAAAGATTCACCGAAGGGATCCACGAAGGACGATGAATCGTGTTATTTGACCAGGACCATCGATCAGCAATATAAATTCAGTACAAAGACAAAAATTAATAAAAAAAAAAAAAAAAGAAAACAAGTAAAGAAAATATCAACGATCTAAATGAAAAAAATAAATCGAAAAATCGAGGTAAAGAGAGAAAGAGGAGATAAAAATTGAGAGAGAAAAAACTAAAGAGAGAAAGGTTATTATATCAAAGAAAGCGAGGACAATCTTCAACAGAGTTACCTAATTAAATTAGCTAATGAACAGGATCGATCGATCGATCATTATCGATCAGGGATCCAATAATTTTTATCGACGACTGAGATATCTCTATTCATCTATGAATGTATTGAAAGTTACACACATACACGAGAGATTACTATTAATGATTATTGTTAATGTTTAAGAGGGTGTTTGCTGTTTAAGATATTTCACGAGACGAATAATTTCGTTCGAGGACTCGAGGTGTAGTCTGTTCACTGTTATCGAGGGGGTGACGAAGAAATACAATCAGTTTGACTAATATGAGCATTTAAATGAATAAGATTTTAGAGGTTTAAGAAAGTATATTGTAGACGTTACGATTATATATATAATTGTATACATATATATATATATATGAAACAGTTTGTGTCCAATTGGGTCCACGTTTAAAGAGATTATCCAAGGTGATATAAAATCGTTTTTATTGTTGCTAATCGATGAAACGGGCGAACGTGTTTCTAGGAGAGAAAGGAAACGAAGAGAAAATAGAGAAAGGAGGAATTGTTGAATACTGAGGTGATTATTTTATTTAAAATGTATATATAATGTGAAGAATGTTTTTTTTTAAACGTATAGAATGTTTTAAAACACAGATGAATTTTTTTATTTGGTATAAATAATTAGGTTCTGGAATATGATTATATTAGGTAAATTATTCAATACATAGATGAATTAAAAATAGAATCAAAGGTATTATATCTAGTAAAATATAGTCATAGTAGTACAATATTAGATTATTTCATTAGATTATTAACTATTTTATTATTTTATTAGATATATAGAGTTATTTAGTAATGTAATCATTATGATTGTATGAAATGAACAAAGTAATTGATGATTTTTATACAGTGAAAAATTATTAATTTAAATTATGACACAATAGTGTTTGGTCATAACATACTACACTTATAGTATTAGATTATTCAATATAGAAATGATTATTTTATTCAGAATGAAGGTGATTATATTAATATGAAAAGTAATTGATAAGTTTTGTAGAGTATATAATTATTAATTTTAAATTATAATACAATTTTTAGTTATGTTTCGGGTGTTTTACAATACAATACTTTGTACTGATTTTGTGGTTTGTTTCTTTTGTTTAGAAGTATCGGGCTCGTTGATCTCCAGATCATTTTTAATAAAATGTATTGTTCTATAATTTGATGTATGTTTATTTTCTTGTACCCTAAAGTATTTGTAATTTCGGTGTTATTTATACTGTAAACTATTTTATATAAAATTTATTTAATTCCCCTTTTTCCATTGAATGCAGATTACTTGACTGGAATTTGAAACATTAAGTAAACATTCCAGAAGTGTTTAATTTTATAAAACAAGGAGTTACTTTAATTTTTTTATTATTACAAATTAGGTGTTATGTGTAATTCGAATATACAACAAATTCAGTAGATAACTATGTTGTAAAAACTGGAAGTAGTTAATTTGAAAAATAATTGACATTTTTATATGACGTGTACCTTATACACTTTTCTATTATTAATTACCTAGTATTACACTCAAATTGCATTATGCATATTAATATACAAAAATTTCTTAAATTCAAGTGAAACAAATATTAGTGTATCCATTTCATATTAAAAAAAAATAATATTCACTTATTTTGTTATAAATCTTTTCCAACAATACAATTATTCTTTAATCACATATCGCTCATAAAAATAACAATGTTTCTCTTTCATGTTAACAGTTTCGTTCTTTACATTATTCTTCCTCTTTTTTAGTATTACAGATTCTAGACAAAGTCAACCTATTCACAAATACTGAAAGAATATATGAATTGAATTTCTTATTGAATATGTTAGCAAACTTTGTTAAAAAAAAGATAACATTGTAAGTATAGTTATAACAAGTATGTTAATATGTAAACAATTAATTTATTACTATATTCAATGAAAATATCAACAACATAAACAATCTTGTCCATTTAGTGTAAAAGGATAGAGATATTAAATTCACTATATTCACATTGTTTATTTAATGATAGAATTAATAATGGTTGAATCTACGAAATCTAAAATGTTCAGATATAGGTAGATAATAAATTTACTATATTTATATTGTTTAACTATAAATGGTGTATTATCTATCTTAAATAATACATATACACTAAATAAAAAAATATGATAAATAGTCTTGTCCATTCAGAAAATGCAAATAGATAATTAATTTACTAAATTTCTGTTATTTTAATTCTGTGTGTTCAGTCACAGCAGACTACTGAATATTATCGTGGAGAGGAGAATGTTGCATTGAGCCGCAAAAAAAAAGAGGGTCGCCATTATGAATCTTGAAGTGGAGCTGATTGCAGGGGTGATTAAGGGCGGACCACCCCCGAAAAACTTGCCAGCGCCGAGGCTGATTAAAATTTTCATCGCCGTAGAACGGAATGGTCTTGTCCTATAATCCATTTTTACTATCAATATTATTAGACGTGTATGTGTGTGTGTGTGTGTGTGGATATTAAATGTTTTACAGTTTGTACGGTTACTTATCGCATTATGCAAAATTTATTTTCCTTTGATTTATTCAGTTCTGTTGTGAAAAGGGAAAAAAATAAAAGTATATATATTATTATTATTAATGAAATATTATGATACATTATTTAATTAAAATACTTTGTTCTTTGTTGGAATATGGAATTTTTTTCAGTTTTATCGTGAAAGGAAAAAAGTACTCGAGTCAATATAATATTATAAAAATGTTTTAAATTGTTTGTTAATGTGTTATGTAATATTGTAGTTTTTTCGTTTGAAATTTTTCAGTTATGTTGTGGAGAAAGAAATGTATATAAGCCAATATAATGTTAAGAAAATGTTTGATATTATTTGTTAGTGTGCTATGTGACACTTTGTTTTTTTAAAAAGAACTTGGGCATAATTGATTTTTCAGCTCTGTTGTGGAGGGAGAAGTGCTTTTACAAAAATGGAGTGATTCTTCAACTATAATTTAAATCGGATTACAGAATAATGCATTCTGTAGTTTTAGAAGTATTAAAAAAAATTAATTTTTCTCCATCCACATCTGATCTTCAAGAACAATTTTCCAATGAATGTGAATCGCTTTCTCTGTTACCTGGTGAACTCGTACACGTTTGTGCACTGACACTTACTGCGTTAGATATGTGCAAAAGTAGTGGGCAATCTTAATTAAATGTTAGTATTTGCTACTTTCTACTATAAAAATTATTTAAATAACTAATGAATTTTTATTTATTTTGTTAATTTTTAGTCTCTAAATTCGTATTTAAATAAGTTTGATAATTTCATATTTATATGTACTACTAATTTGTGGGATTCTAAATTCATATTTAAAGAAATTTGGTAATTTCATATTTATATTAATAATTTTTGGGACACTAAATTCGCATTTAAATAATAAATTTGAATTTATACTACTAATTTTACAAATGAATTCGTATTTCCATTACCAATTTCTGGGATTCTGAATTTATATTTAAATAAATCGAACGTATTTCTATTTACAGTATCGATTTTTAGGATTCCAAAATAAATCTAACGAGTTGGTATATTCCATTGCCAATTTTTGGGGTTCGAAATTCCTATTTAAATAAATCGAACGAGTTCCTTTGGTCCTTTATTTTCGCATATACCTAACGAATTAATGTTTATTTGCGTATCCACACGTATGCCTGTCTAGCTATGTGTTCGTCGATTCTTTTCTACGTGTTTAGACGTCCACTTCTGCTATTGCTTGCGTAATTACGCGATGTGTACTCTATCTTTTCTTCACTCTGTTTAGCTCACCGTGTACGTATGTACGTGTGTCTGTGTGTTGCAAGGACTATGTTTGTTAATATGTTTGTATTTAACACGCATGCGACGATAAATCGAATTCACGAAGAGCCACTGAAATAAAGATACTACAAACGCTTCCACTGACGAAGTGTTCCCAATTGTTCGAGGAGGTTGTCAGTCGTTTAATAAACCAGTTTTTTAATTGTTTGTCAAGCTTTGTGATTGTCCATTCATTGCTCCACCTTTTCTGGTCATCTATTTGTTATTTGTTTATATAAATTATTTCCAAGCAGGCACTATTATTTATTACAGTAACAAGGGAATGGTTTCCAATTTCACTGAGGTTAATAGTAATAAATGCAATAATCTTCAAATATTATTATTATTATGTAATATTTTTATTATTATTTATAATACTTTGTTACTAACATAATGTTATTAGGAATGACATTCGAAACACTATTGATTAACTAGATTTGTTATCAAACTTAGTGAAATTACTGTTCCTCCATTAGTATAATGGACACTATAATTTTTCAAACGAAATAAAGTTAAGACTTTGCAGAATCGACGCCATGACAGGTTGCCATCTTGAATGGAGTATACAAGGCAAATGAAATTTCTCATTTTTATTTACTCAGGAGTTACGAATTATGTAAAAGATTAAGAAAATTATAACTTACAGAAAATATTAATATTAATTTGCGATTTTTTTCCTACCAGGAATTATATTTGTTTATTTTTCCTGTATATTTATGTATTATGAGCCTAATTGGTCAATTAACCTCAGGGGGCTTCGTTCCAATAATGTGTTTATAAATCTGTAAATGCTCTACCTGTTGACTGTTTGCCCCGTCTTTCTTTGCACTTGTTCACACGTTCCACTGTGTTTCGTGTAGTTATTTATTCAAACAAATTGCATCTAGTTTTGTAGAATAATTTTTAGTGCATTTTCCACCACATTCACATTCACTGTAGGGTAAAACGCATAGGATCGTGCTTAATTGTTGGCATAATACATCGAAAAGTAATTTGTTTCTTAATTTGTTTACTACAAAAATTGTTTAATTGCTTTTTGTTTGTTTATATTTGCATAAACATCAACAATGTTAGATTTAGAGTAGTTGATGATAACCGATAAAATTTCGTGGAAATGATGGCTTAAGAAAATAAATTTCAAAATCTCATGTCGCGCATTTCCCGCGTTTATTCGTTTAAATCTGACGTGTTTACGAGGTGAATGAAAATGAAAAGTGAAGAAAAAGGCCAATCCGACGCAAGCATATGTCAACAAAGTATGTCCTTGCGAAAGGTTATTGCCAAGAGACGAGAGATTTAACGGCGTCATTAAATTTTTATGCTCGACAAAATGGCGGACGAGCCTCGTGTATCATGGATATGTGACAAGAAATGCCCATATTTTTTAACCAATTAATATCAATTAAAGCTGTTTCCAGGAACTTTTACAACGAATTATATCAGATTTTATGCATTTAGAGATTTTATAAAAACGATCGAAACGCAACTAAGTGCCCTTTTTAGCATTACAGACTCTTCTCGATTACTGTCTCGAATTCCGGTCCACGCCAGGACATTAATCTTATAGGGAGAAATGTTTTAAACCCTCGTAAATTGGTTTTTTTAGGGACAATAAAGTATGTGCTTGACAGTTTCCATGGCCTCCCCTCCCCAGTCGTGGGCATAACGCCTGGATAATAATCGTGTAGAATAAACCGGACAATAATAGAGAGGAGTGTGGATTTAATGCAGTTTAGCTGCATTTTTAACCTAATGAAACTATTAACTGAGGTGGCAATATGGCGGATGCTGGGTCCTTTTGAACCTATTACAGACTCGTCTCGATTATTGTCCGGCTAGTTCTACACGATTATTGTCCTGTCGTTATCCCCGTCACTGGAGAGGTGGGAGGGGGGAAGCTGTCAAGCGCATATTTTGTTGCCTAGGCTCGGGCTTAGGGCAAAAAACGAATTTATGAGGGTCTGAAGCATTCCTTCCTATAAGATTATTGTCTTCGCGGATCTGAGTTCGGGACAATAATCGAAAGAAGTCTGTATAGCAATTATTTATGTGACAAAGCTATTTTTTTTCGATAGATTTTAATCATATTTTGTATAGATTGTTTACTTGGAAGTATTATTAAAGCAATGTAAATTGAAGGGAACAAAAAATGTAACAGTGTTATATAAGATACATGTATGCATTAAAATGTAACTAAAGAAAATATATTATTCTTGTGAAAATAGTGTGAACATTTCTAAACTTCATAATGATTACAAAAATTTGTAATGCATCCGTATATTATATATTATACTATCTACTAGAAATGGGTCTAATTAGACCCAGTATTCGCCAAATGTTGAATTAGAGAGGAAATAGAAGAAACAATATTCGAATTAACTTCAGTTTCTCAAAACTGCTTCGTGAAAATTTAAATCTTCGTGAACTTCAGTTTCATCATTAAAATCTCATGTTTGTTTATTACAAACTTTCCATATGTAGAGTCTATCTGCCCTTTTTTTTCACGATGGCAGCCTGTTCATTTTAAATACCATTTACCTGTATAAAAAAGAATATATAGTTCTGTTTCTATTTTTTTTTTTTTATTTAATATCGATAATGCATGAAATTATAAATTTGTTTTAAAGTTCAAAATATCCACAGAATTCGTGGAAGAAAGAAAGCAGTTTTTGGAGCACCTCGGGCCAGAACTGCAATCGATTTACGCCGACATGGGAATCGAGGTACGATCAAATAACATAATTTGAAAAACGAAACAAACAATACGATTCTTCGTTTGTTATTAAAAATTACAAACAATTTTTTGATATATTGTATCTTTTTTTTGTGATTAACGAATGAAAAATTACGCAGGTGTTATTGGTGGACATGCAATATGCAACGAATACGAATCCGGATAGAAATCCGTTTCTAGCCGAACACTTTTACGACGAAATACGCGCTGCGCATCAACACTCGAGAGGTTGTTTCTTTTTGGTGAGTCTCTAACTTTCAACTAAAAAATCTCTGTAAATACAATAATCGCGAGTTACTGAACTGAAACAATATTTAGGGAAACGAAATAAATACAATTTAAAGCATAGCAATTTAATAGTTAGTACCTCAGTAGGTGAATAATTCAAGGTTTCGTAACAAAAACATAAAATATAAAACATAACATTTTAAATACAGCAATTTAATATGTAGTACTTTAGTGGTTGAATAATTCAAGATTTGGTAACGTAGAACATGATCATTTTTTATCTATAAAAATTGACTCTACAGTATTTAATAATTCAGTAACATTATCGTTAAAAAGATATAGTACAATTATACAGTATGTACATATACTATAGATACTACAGGGTGTGCTAAAAGTGACCATCTATTCTAAGAAATAGGAATGTTACAAAAACTACTATAAGACACGAAAGGATATATGTTACATTTTTACTAACACAAAATGCATTTAATTTTTTGAATAAACGCATTTTCATTTATTCATTTATTTAATGTAAATAAATGTAAAGAAAATATACATTCTGTGTATTTTCAAATAAATATACTTTTTATAATATTATAATAATAATAAATAAATACATTTTCATTTATTTATTTAATGTAAATAAATGTAAAGAAAACACGTATTTTATTTCAGTTAGAAACAAAGTAAGATTTCTTGTAGTTGTCTCTCTATTCGTATCTTGTAGTTATTTTTCTAAAATGCCCATTATTTCTCAAAATGAATACTTTCGCGCTCTGATTGGTCGGGGTTTTTCAAAGGAAAAACTTGTTCCAAAATCACCTCATGAGTGATCCATTTCAGGAATCTACACCACTTTTGTACCACCCTATATATACAATAGATGGACATCTATCAGTCAAGTGACTTGGATAATTGATTTTCTAAATAATTAATTTCCTGATATGAATACACCAATCATATTCTACGATTATCGACGTTTCCAATAATCGACATCTCGACTGATCGATGTTCCGTTGCTAAGTGTATTACTTTTTATCGTTTTTTTTTTATTGTTTAAGTTATTGGTCGGGGACGAGTACAATGCCGGATGGCTGCCGACGAAGCTCACCGAGGAGAGTTATGGACTCCTCTCGAGCCGGTGCGCCATGATGGACGGGTATTACGAGCGCGACAGTAATTGTTATGTCCTGAAGGCTGGCAGGTAGTTACGTTTTATTATCGCATTGTATAGAAACGGAACGAAAATGACGAGGGCGTTGAGAGAGAAGTAATAAAATGAGGGAGGATATCGGTGACTTTATTACTCCAATCCTGTAATTCCTTACAGTCTGTCGTTTTCCCGCGAAACCGCCATTTTCTTTCTCCTCTTTCCCGCCAATTCTATTCTCGGCGTTTTACGGCTCCCTACGGATTGCTTTGCCCTCTTCGAAATTGAAAGTTACGACGAGAATGGATTCGAATGATACTATCTCCCTACGGATTGCTTTGCCCTCTTCGAAATTGAAAGTTACGACGAGAATGGATTCGAATGATGATGTAGGTTCTATCAAAGTACAGGAGAGCCTGTTATATACGAACACACATTATTTGAAAACCCTATTATTCAAATGTTCTATTTTCCGAACATTCTACTATCCGAACCTCTTATAATTCGAACGTTCTGCTATCTGAACCTTCTACTATTCAAACCTTTTACAATTTAAACCTTCTACAATTTGAACCTTCCACTACTCGAATCTTCCACTATCCGAACCTTCTACAATTCGAACCTTCTACCATCCGAACACTTCTGTCTCTCTATAAATTCGGATACGGGAGTATATACTGTATGTTGCTTTAATTTAAGTATGTACCAATTAATTTAAATATTTCGTAAATATCTGCAGTGAAATTATTATTCGTTGACAGATTGGGAGCTGCGACTGATAGCTGGCAGAACGAAGAACCAACGATGAGGGAAGCTCTGAAGAGAGCTGCAGAGACCGCCATCTCTGAGAATCTTGATAACGAGGAGATCAGGAATATATTAAAAAGCTCCGCTCAGAGGCAGTTGGAATACGCTTTAAGTCAGTGCCACAAGAATTATCCATTAGAAAATATTGTATATTTATACAAATATCTAGAAATTAAATAGTGAATCATTAAACTTTACGGTCCTATGTCTGGGTCATCGGTGACCCGCCGACTCAATGTTCAATGTTTATCCACAATCACACATAAGTTCAATGTTAGAATCATTAAATATGTTTTCTCGTCTTTCGTAAGAACATAATTGTGCCTATGAAATTTTCTTGCGGCTCACCATTGACCCAGCCACCAGTCTGGACAGTCCATACTCAGAGGGTTAAAATCATCGAATTTATCTTTTCATCTTTCGCAAGATATAAAGTGTAGTTGATATACTCGGGTGTTTTTATTCGTGTATAAATAAAATGTATAATTTATAATTTGTTTACAATACTTTCCTTTGTATTTCGTTGCAGTGCTGGACGAAACGAGGGAAGGTATCATAGCCGTGACACGGACGTGGAAAGGGCAACCGATTTCAGAGGCGGTGGCGGCGCTGCAATCGCTCGTGGCGGATAACCTGCCACCTGACAATATCATTGATGTAGAAGTAGAACAGGAACCAGGTGGAATTGATCCTGACAATGATTCCCACAAGGTTTACTTGGCAAATCTGTGTCGTTTGCTCGTGAACCGAGTACAGACCCTGGCCAACGACTCCATCGAGGCTGATCCTGAGATAAAAAGCAAGAAAAAGATGGTGCAGGAGATTTATGCTGAGAGCCTGATGCATCTTGCTCTTTTGAGGAATGTCAAACCCTGTGAAGAGAACGAGCAAGTTGATAGGATCAAACAGCTCTTGATATTTGGTAAAAAATGTTTTTAAAAATATGAAATGAAGGATTTAGGCCTTAGAAGTTATACCTGCTCTTTAGAAGGCTCTAAATATTAGGATTAATGTAACTGCATATTGGAATTTTAGGGTTCTGCAATCTTACAAATTGTGTTTATGCGTGTCATAATAAATGGTATTGTGTTTTGCAGATTAAGAGTCTGTGGTTGCTTAGTTGCTTGCTGGAGTGTGGCTATTTGTGTAGTTAGGAATAGGTACTATTCTGTTTGAGTTGTTAGGAATAGGTCATCTTATGTCACTTGCTCACATAAATACTTTATTTAAAACAGGCTTTATTTTACATATTTCATGAGAAAAAGACCTCATTCTAATTCTGTTATTTTGTCACTAAAATTCTGCTTGTTTGGTTAAAGACAAATACAACTCTACTTGTCTGGATAAAAACAGGTTCAATTCTACTTGTTTGGCTAGAAATAGGTCTAATTCTACTTGCCTGGTTAGAAATAGGTCCAAATCTACTTGTCTGGCTAGAAATAGGTCCAAATCTACTTGTCTGGCTAGAAATAGGTCCAACTCTACTTGTCTGGATAGACATAAGACAAATACAACTCTACTTGTCTGGATAAAAACAGGTTCAATTCTACTTGCCTGGCTAGGAATAGGTCCAACTCTACTTGTCTGACAACCGACTTGTTAATCTATCTAGAAGATACCTTAACTGCCCATCATAAGACCAGTTCTACTCATTCAACCCAGGTTATGTCTACTATAAACCCTTAATTAATGAAGAACTCAGTTACAGTATAGTTATAGCAACCTAGAACCATATCTTGACTATACCTATAACTACTTAGAAGATGGGCACAGACAGAAATTTCTGTCCTTCATACTTAATACAGTGAAATCGAGAGTACTTTACTATTTAATACCTTAGCTACCTAGAATAGTAGCCCTACTGCATCTTTAACAACTGAGAAGATTGATAGAAAAATAAAAAGTTGTACTCGTATCTTGATACATTAGAATGAAAAAAGCTAATCCAGTATCTAATAACATAACAACCTAAATATAACTATAGCTTCACTGTGTCTTTACCAATTTAGAAGAAGGATACAAAAAAACAATATATTTCATTGAAATATATTGAAATAAAACAATCATCTACTAACCAACAAGTAGAAAAATGATGGAAGTGAAATATTATAACTTCCTTAACTTATCATTCTACAGGTAAATCCCAGAAACATGGGCCGATATTGGTGAAAGGTAGCAAATACTCTGGCAAGTCGTCGTTGCTCTCAAGAATCTATACAGATGTGGCTTCTTGGCTGGATTGCGCAACCTTCAAAGTAGTTCGCCTATGTTCTTCCACTCCACGGTCCGCGTACAGTCTCGAGTTACTGCGTGTGCTCTGTCAACACATCGGTTTCCTATCCGGTCAATTGGACGGGAACCTACCGAAAGACGCATCCTTCGATCCACTCTATTTGAACAACTGGTTCGGCCAGATCATTAGGCGAATAGAAGAGGAGCCGTTGAAGGAGCAGCTATTGATCCTGATCGATGATCTTCATCGGTTACACCCCCTGGAATGTGATATTATCGCCGCGTTGTCATGGCTTCCATTAAACTTACCACCAGGTAATAGGGAGAACATTATGTCAATCATGTTAATTTGCTTTCTTCAAAAAATAGGATCCACTACTCTCTCTTACCTTCTCTCACTCATTTTTCTATACTTTTGTAAAGACTATCGCTGTTCTTGCATTTCTACTAAATATTACTGCAACTATTGCATTATTTATATCAATTGAATTTCTTAAATTTTTGCAAATATTCATGTAAAATATTATGTTCCATTTTTTATAATAATTGAATATTACTTTCTTAAATTTTGCAAATAATACTATAAATAATATGTTATGTTCTTTATATTAGTTAAATAGTAAAAGTAAAAATATCAAATACGTTAATAATTTCGAGACACATATAAAATTTTTATTTGCTGTACTAACAATCTAATTATAATTATCATTGTTATGTTACATAATACTTTCAGGCCTAAATATTTTAGGTTTCAAGACCATTTATACTGAAATGTATTGAGAATGAATTAGATTTCACTGAATTCTACCAGTTAAATAATTATTGTGCGATCGTGATGTTCGTTTTAGGGGTGCACCTAATCGTAACGACCGCCATTCCTCCGGAGATGCTTCGTCTTACACCGACGCAGAAAGAGAGGTTACGAAACTCAGAGATTTTGATCGAACTCGACGATCCATCCTCCGTTCCGAATGAAATCGAAACTGTGTTTGACACGTTGGGTAATTTGGTGGGCGAGCGCGCAGCGAACAGAATCGGCGCCATTTTGGCGTCCACGGAGTACGGTCTCTCCGAAACGGAAATCCTCGAAATGATCATGCCAACAGGTGGTGATAGTCCCTTGCTCCTCGAGGATGGAAAATTCAATTTTGCTACCTGGTCACTGGTCAGAAGAACGTTCAACGATTCCTTGAAGGTAGTTCTTAAAAATGATTTACAGACAAAAGCAAAACCCTTTTGGAATTACAGTAGACTCGCGATAATTACCCGCATTTGTAAAGTTCAATTTTGCTATTAGAAGAACGTTCGATGATTCCATGAAGATAGTTCTCAAAAATTAAATTTAACTGAATATTCCATAATTAACGATGTCAACGACGGTGATTATCGACGACGTCACCGCGCCGGTCACCGGTGACCGTCACACGTTAACGTCAATATTAGCACATTATAATCGAATGTGCAGGTTCGTGTGATGACCGGAAGACTTCTGTTCTCCTGGCGATACCCGATCCGCGATCTAGCCCGGAAGCGATACTTTCCGAGTCAGGAGATCCTCAAAACTTATCATGGCGAGCTAGCGAACCTGTTCTTCTCAGAGGACTTTGAAGAAAAAGACGACAAATCGTCGCCTGAGGAGGAGACACCTAAAAAACAGACGCCGTTTCACAGCAGACCAAGGTCCCATTGCACCGCTTACAACCTGAGACACGTCGAGGAGGCTTGGTTACACCTGTTGAGGGCCGGTGACGTTGAGAAACTGAAGAAACTCGCAGTATGCGCGTTCGATTTCCTCCTCGCAGCTGTGCAAATGGTCTCAGTCAGCTATTTGAGGTGCGTGCTGGAACATTCAAGGAAGTATCTTCTAGAGAGGGATCTGGAGTTGGTTTATTACACCGTGAGGAACTCCAGCGACATTTTGACCAGGGATCCCCTACAGCTAGGCGCTCAGCTGATCTGCTGGCTGAGACCTGTCGCGGAAGATGGCGGCGACTTGGTAAGGAATCGTGCGATTTTTTAAGTTAATGTCACTTTTTGAGTGTCATTCCTCCTTTTGATACGCTATCTTTTTTTATTCTAGTTACTTTGACACATTTAACGTCGTGCCGGTCACCTGTGACCGGCACGGAATTTTGAGTTCATGCCGCATTTGTCATCTGTGATCGATAAAGGAGTTTCCATTTACATTACGTTGATCACCGATCGAGATAGAACTTCCGTTTGACGTTTCGTCGGTCACCGATGACCGTCACTGTAGTGAAAGTGTTGAGAAATTTGGTAAACGGTTCCAACAGTATTATTTTATATTTAAAATGACATTCGTCGCGATTGACGAGGCGTAGATGGAAACTCGACTGTCGGTCACCGGTGACCGTTACGATGGCAAAGATTTTAATGAATGTAAATGAATTATTCCAATAGGTTTAGGTATGTGGCGTTAATTTAGCGTTTTGATGAGGCGTGAACGGAAAATTGAGTGTCAGTCACCGGTGACCGTCACAGTAATGAACGTGTTAATGAGAATGGACGAATTGTTATGTTCTGACATCGATATGGAAGTGTGACGAATATTATTGTTAATCCAAGGTCAGCAGAATGGTGACTGCAGCAATGGCGTGGTGCGATGGTTTCACTGCACCGTTGTTGGTACCACTGAACGGTTGGCTTCGACCGCCATTGCCTCTTCAAATTCGCATCCTATCTTGCCCACAAGGGGTGAAACTGATCGAGGCAGCTCCGTCTGGACAACACGTAATCGTGGTGCCCTTCCAGGGGGACGCTCAATTATGGCACGTTATGTCTGCTCAATTGGTCCACACATTTAAAGGTATTTTGTAAAACGATACGCAAACAATTTTCAACATTTGATTTAATTAAGTTTAAATTATGGAGATCCATCAATAAGACTTGCAGAAGAATTATTTAGTTATTTTTAGGAAAATATCTTCATGCGTCACAAACGTTGACTGTAAAACCGTGAAAACAAAATGGCGGCCACCTTCCGCCATATTATTTTCGAGGAACATCAATTCACTTCGTCCATTTAATTCTAGTAAATTACATTTTAAAAATTATTAACTGATAGTAAATAATCATAATTGTTTTTAGAAAGGGGAATACACTAATTTTTAATATTTATATTGTTATATAAAGTGATAATTATAGGTCACACACAATTGTTTCAGGTCATTCGAACCCGATATCTTGCTTGGCTGTAACGCAACACGCGCAGTACTTATTGACAGGCTCCGAGGACACCTCCATTATCGTTTGGGACATGAAAGAGCTCAGTTTGAAATTGAGAATTCGAGAACATATCGCTTCCGTTTTGTGTTTAACCACTGCGCTGAAGAATTCTGTGATTGTCAGGTTTACAATTTTATATCAATTCTTTACTAATTATTTAACATTACACAGAATCAGCATATACTTCGCTTACAACTTTCAAATCATCGTATAAACAAATTACATTTAACATCCCCATGAGAACCATTTACGAAAATTAATTAAAAGCAACTTGCCGAAGTAACTGTAATCCCATGAATTTTTCCGTACTTGGTTGGTCCTAATTTTAGGATTTAAGGGAGAAGCTACCCTTTCTGTCAGAAGCGTTCTTTTACTTATTCGCTTCTAATTCGTAAACTATAAAAGATATCGAAAAAAAATTATATATCGTTGTTAGTTGTTCATATATCGGTAAGCAAACATTTTCAAAAAAGTTTTATTTCCAAACAAAAATTCAAAAGAACTTATTTTCATGAAAATGTTTTCCTACCTATATATTGACAACTAAAAACGATATAAAATTGATCTAAACTTTTTTTCGTTACCTTCTGTAGTTTACGAGTTATAAACAAATAAATAAATGGGACGCTCAGAATAAAATGGATACTTTCTCCCTTAAAATATAAATGTATTACCAACCGAGTACGGCAAAATCTTTAAATTGGTCGCATAAACAATCGAGCAAAGTTACAGAAAAATCGACGTGCATCACTTCGCGAACATCCCTTGTCAGGCCTTATGGAACTTTTAACAATGAGGACAAATTTTTCTTGAATTCCAATTTCCATCAAACGAATCCACAAAAATCCATATTTGCATAAAGATCCTCATTATATTTCGAACGTTCTACACATATAATCGTTCCAACACCATATTCTCAAAATATTCTCCAATCCACTTCCACTTTTTGTCTTTAGCGGTGGCGAAGACTCCAGGATCATCGTCACGAGTCTGCTTTCTGGTGATGTTCTGATCAAGGTGGATCATCATAGAGGTCCAGTGAACTCGATCCGCGTGAATTCGGCGGGAGAGATCCTCGTTTCCGGTTCGTCCGACTGCACCGTTTGCCTCTGGTGTTTGGAAAAGTTCACGTTGCTGAAGAGCATAGCGTTGCCATCAGCAGTGACTATGTTGGATGTATCAGCGGATTCGTTGTTCTTATTGGTCGCCTGCGAGGATCAGAAGCTGTACTTGAGGTCACTGGCAACGGGGACGGAGATTCATATGCTGAGAGGCCACCAAGGCGACGTGAAGAGCATTTGCCTGGCCAAGGACTGCAGAAGAGCCATTGCTGGCGGAGCCAAGGGCAGGGTCTCCGTGTTCGACATGCATAGCGGAAGGCTGACCAGAACTTTGCCTGCTAATCTGTCGGCGGACGTCACTGCCATCAAAGTAAGGAAATATTTTTGTAAATAATTGGAGAAAAATTTTACTTACCACTTATACTGTCAAACTTGAAACTTACTTAGAACTTATATTTTTAAAGTTAGACGTTACTTAGAACTTATATTTTTAAAGTTAGACGTTACTTAGAACTTATACTTTCGAACTTAGAACGTACTTAATAACTTACACTTTCAAACTTGTAACTTAAAACTTACTTAATAACTTATACTTTCGAATCTAGAATGAACTTAATAACTTACACTTTCGAACTTGAAACTTAAAACTTACTTAATAACTTATACTTTCGAATCTAGAATGAACTTAATAACTTACACTTTCAAACTTGAAACTTAAAACTTACTTAATAACTTATACTCTGAAACCTAGAATGTACTTAATAACTTATAGTTTTAAACGTAAAACTTACTTATAACTTGTTTTTGTATTTTTAACTAAAAAATAGAAAAAAAAACAATTATTGTTGTGTAATTATTATGTAGATCTCTGCATGAAGTCTGTCCATTACTATTTCAAAAGATGGAAGGCAAGAGTCTAAAACCCCATTTGACATCTTGTACTTCTGATTCGTTCTTCCCCAATTCCACGTATCCTCAATGTGTCTCCGTGAATACAATAGTTCAAGGATCTAACAAAGTACCAAATGGTCCTAGAATAAAATTTTATTCTTTTTTAAATAATTTTACCAAATCATACGTTACTACAGGTGACAGAAAAGGACGACTTCCTGATAACAGCAACTGGGGATCGAGTGACCTATTGGAGTTTCCGTGGCGAAGAGGCGTTATCGAAGCCTGCAAAATCGGGGAAATCAGAATCTTTGCATCCTCACACGGCGTCTATATCTTGTTTGGACATATCCAGGGACGGAGCAATGGCCGTTACCGGAGGTGTCGATTCTCTGGTGAATCTCTGGCAGCTGAACACTCACGAGCTGCTCTCGACCTTCGAGGGCCATATCGCGAGCGTGACGTGTATAGCGTTCTCAGCTTCCGGTCTATTTGTTGCTTCAGGTATGTCTGTTACTTATTTAGAAGCCAAAAACTATCTTTAACTGTCTAAATTATTTTATTTATGAAACTTAAAAGTAATAGCGAATATAAATGCTATGTATAGTAAATCCTCGATCATTGTCCGAATGCTCCTCGGCACTGGTAAGGAGAAGTCCCCAGGTGTAACGCTGACTTTTTAATGAGGTCATTCGAAACTCTTTCCGATTGCAGGATAAAATTTTACAGATTACTATAAAAAAACACAAGGTGACCTTCATAAAAAGGCAAAATGACGAAGAACTACTTACTACATTGTGTGCTCCTCTTGATAGTATATCACTTTCGTTTCGAACATTTTTTCATGTAACAAATCGTTTACAAGTAATTTTGATAACAGCGTTAGGTGAATCATTCTCTATAAATTCGTTGAATTTACGTTGGACATTATTAAATTCAGGGTCAGAAGACAAAACAGTTCGAGTCTGGGGACTGACGTTGGGCCTAATGGTGGCGACGTTCAGGCACCAGGCACCAGTTACGTCAGTGACGGCCATGTTTGACGGTCGAAGAATCGTCAGTTCGGATAGAGGAGGCGCGATTCGAGTCTGGGCCGCTGATACCGGCACATTAATTCAATCCGTGAGCGGACGTGGTCGATGCATCACGGTTTCCTCTGACATGAGGTACAAAATATTTTAAACTTTTTTTGAATTAATTGTGGAAATGATTAAACTTTTAATCGGGCCAGACCTAAACTGGAGTTAACAAATATTATTAAATATTTTAATAATAATGCTGATATCAATATTGTATTAATAATAATAAATATAATAATGTCTTAAGAATAATTATCGACAATGAAATTAATCGAAATTATTAACCAGTTTTACTATTATCAAACAAGTGAACATTTTTTTTCTACCAATTTTAAAATCAAAAATTTATTTAGAAGAAGTTAAAACCTTCAAGACTTAAAATTTACTTTCCATGTGTTCAAGTGGTCAGTAGTAAAAAAATTTTTAACATTAAAAATAAATTTCGGTTATAGAGATTTAACAATAAAGTAACTTTGGTGTTATATGGAAAGAGGGTAGAAAAGGATAGGTTAGGAACCAGCCAATTGTATTTTAATATTGATGATTTTATTGTTATTAATGTGAGGTAACGTTAATAAAAAAAATTGTCCAGGTACGCCATATGCGAAACAGGAGACAATCAAGTACGAATAGTAAGTTTAGGGGCTGGACCGGAAGAAAAGTACCAAGTGTCGCATTCCCAGGACATCAGTTGCCTCGTGGTCACTCCAGACTCTCGATCCTTGATTACTGGCTCGCTCGACATGAGTCTGAAGGTTTGGCAGCTCGCTGGAGGAAAATTATCGCAGGTCCGTTTTTCAAATTAATAATATTATAATATTTCAATTTTTATCCAGAACACCCTGTATATAGCTGTCCATGAGTATTATATCTAGAATATCTGGTCTCTGTGAAAGGATGTGATGTTTCATGAAAATTATACATTGGACCAAAGTCCACTTTTCTTATTTTAATGTCATCGGACACTCATCGACGAATTACTGTACCTTGATCTACACTGTCATAAAAGATTTGTGAACCCCCTTTCTAGACAGCTTCAGGAAGCTAGATTTCCAACACCCGAAGAATAATCCAACCTCCTGAATAGCCCCATAAACAAGTACAGTAAATCCTCGCTGAATGTTCGGAGGCTCCTTCGCACTGACAAGGCCTCAGGTTAATGTTTCTGACCTACCACATCGGTGAAGGATTTCAAATCTGTTTTCAGGTCCTGGTCGGTCACACGGACCACGTGACCTGCGTCGCTGTGTCCGTCCTGGACAAGTCCATAGTGGTGTCCGGGTCCAGGGACGCGAATCTGATCGTCTGGGACATCAACACAGGCGCTGATCTCCATACCCTAAAGGGACATCTAGGGTTCATCACCTGCGTGAAGCTGTCCGGCGACGGGACCCTAGCAGCGTCAGGAAGCGAAGACAAGAGCTTGATAGTCTGGGACACGAAGAAAGGATGCTCCCTGAGTAGCATCATGCTGCACGTTCCGGTGGTAGGATTAGAAGTGGCCACGGACCTATCTAGGCTAGCGTTGCACCTGCTCGAGTACAAGTGCATGCCTATACTCTGTCTGCACAACACACCGGCGCAGTACGTCAAATTGCCGGATTATGTAGCGCCCTGGTGCGAACTTCGTGACCTGAGGCCCACCGGGCCCAAGAGGCCCAATAAGAGGCTGCTGAAAAAGGAGGTGTCGCTGGACAGCGACACCTGGCGCAGGAAGTACGGGCATCTTACCTCGGGTAAAGGATCCACTGTTTTCTGGAAATTGATGTGTTTGGCGTGCCAGTAAGGGAGAAACAGAATTTACCTTATACAGGGTGGTCCATTAGTCTTTTGCACTTAGAATGTCTCCCCCGTCTTTAGGAGCAGTGGGCCAATTGTTTTAGGTGGAATTATTGGTCTGATAGGGGTGTATATTATGATCGATAGAACACCTATACAGGGTGGTCCATTCATTACTTGCACCTAAAATATGTTCGCTACTTTTAGTAGTATAGTACTAATAGTCTTTAGAGAAATTGTTCGATTCAAAAGGGTGTATATTATAATTGACAAAGCATCTCTGCCAAGGTCATTTTTTCGAGATGTCAAGGTTATTTGCATTCCTTTTCGCCCGTAAGACTTAACTTTGTCCGTATAGTGTTATAGAGGATTCTATGACATACATATTCAGTTAATTATATCTCTGTGACCTTGAAATGACCTTTCACGTGAAAAGTTATATTAATGTTAGCTTCAATATTTTCCCCAAAGTGGATGGTACAGTAGAGTCTCCAGTATCCGAATAGCCTAATGTCTGAACGTTCCATTATCCGAACACTTATGTCTCCCTATTATTTCGGATACTGGAGGTTGTACTAATAATGCCCACCCTGCATATGAATTGTTGCGCAGGAATATCAGCGTCGTCAGTGGAGAATATCCAGCGACGATTTAGCGTCAGCGCCTCAATGGACGAGATCAGCAAAGTCGGATTAGCGAACAGCCCGTCGGGATTGGGCCCGGAACAGGCGGCCCTGGCCCAGTCGCAGCACTTCGATCAGCTGGAGGCGCTCTGGAATAAACAATCACCGCCATCTAGACCGCGTTCTCATGGACGAACCCTATCCAAACAGAGCTCTCTGCAGGCCACGCGTATTTCCGACTCTGAGGAAGAAGGTGAGTTTTTTCTTCGCGCGATAAAATTAAAAAATGGCGGATAATGTGTGCAATATTTGATAAATTTTCTTTTTTGAAACTAATACGTTTTTTGTAACTGAATTTTATGGAAGTTCGTTGGAGTTTAATTAATATTATTGTTAATATTTTCAGATGATACTACTACACATTATTAACTTAATTTTCAGTATTAATTGTGATTTTGAATATTCAGTTTTGCAAATGCAATGTTGAATTTACGTTATATTTTCAATTTCAGTGTGAATATCAATTTTAATTTTCCGTTCGATTGTCGTGTTTAAAGATCTCATTAATTTTTTATTTTTCAGGTTAATATCTAATATTAATAACAGTTTTGCCCATGAATATTTAGTATAAGCATTAATTTCACTTTTTAATTCTATAAGCTGATATTGAAATGTGATTTTCATTTCTAATGATGATATGGACGTTGAAATTTAATTTTTGGTATGGCGGCCATATTGGAAGATCCAATTACAATTTTGTGTCTTTAATTTTAATGTATAATACTAATGTTAACTTCTGTAGTATTAATTTTATATTTTAATTTTTTATATGAGCAACAATTTTATACATTAATATGAAATTAATATTTCTGCTTCCGTTATTAATATGAATATTGAATAGGTTATCGTTTGGCGATCATATTGAAACTTCTATATGTGACTTTTTTTCTTACCTTATCAGTTAAATTATGGGGTATTCGGGAAATCAATATGTGTCCTTCTAAAAATAACTCAAAGTTAAATATAAAATCAGGTATATAATCGGAATAATAATAGGATTAGATAGGAAGAAAGATGAAGACAGGTTTTCATCAATTGTTATTGACACCAGATATTTTTATACAAACAGGTCTAAAAAAATACAAATATATTTCCATCTATGTAGCAAGTACACAGTGATTTTTCTAACACCTTATAATTAAAAACTTGTTTAAATAAGATTTATTACATACATCTACATACAGCGTCTACTATGGACTGCGAATTTTAAGTTTATTGAAACTGTTTACAAACGTATATTAACAACTACATTGTTAAATTTTTCTGCAAATTGAAAAATATTACGTTCAGTCATGAATGATTTAAATTATTGTTGGGTCAGTACATTTTACAATTAACATTAGTATATTACACGTTCTGGATCACTGTTAGCTGAGCAGTTCTTATTAAATTTAGGAATTCTTATTATCGTGGCTCTTTAATTATTATTTAGTCATTTTTTACTGACTATAGAGGAAGTTATTTATGACTCAACCCAATATATCGAAATATATTGAAATGTATCAAAATATACCGAAATATATCGAAGTATATGGAAATACATCGAAATATATTGAGATATAGTGAAATCAAATAGTATCAGGAAGAAATATTAATTGCATTTGAGAAACTTGTTCTTATAAATGTATAAAATTCGCAGTTCTGGTGATTAATACGATAATTGACCAAATTTTCTTTCAGGTTTACCGGGTTAAAATAACTTCACGGTTAAATGGACTATAAGCTCTGGAAACTCCTAATCGTCGTACATTCTTCTCTCTCTCTATCTCAGATTGTTTCGCCGGAAAGCGAAAAGAAAAATGAAAATCCAAAAAAAAAAAACAGAAAAACCGTTAAAAAAATACGAAAAAGCACGTCCCCGCAGCGAAGCTCTAAGTTACGAAATTTCTCGTGTCCGATGCAATAAACGTGTGTATATGAGTATGCATATACATATGTATGTCGATATTAGAGAGGAATAAACCGAGGTCCTTTATTTTCATCCCTCACTCCCCCCCCCCCTCCAACCTTTTCATGGATGATTTTCAACGAACGTTCTGTCAAATATCCCTTCGTTTTCAATTAACCCTCGAATGATAGATGACTGGGTCCACTTGGATCCAGTATATCAATGTCATATTTATGTAACGATGCTGTAACTGTTCCGCTAACTTTTTATCTGATATTCTATACATACTGGGTGCTCCACTAGAAACAGGCCATCTTAATATCTTTTGTTGTATCGATGTTATAAAAATGTATATTAAAGAAAAATTAATGGTTATAAGGGGCAAAACATGATCCAAATGGCACAAAGACGTCTTATGGACGTCCTATAGTCGTCCTACACACGTCTTCTGAACGTCTTATATTACAAAACAGAATGTCTTAAAGGCGTCTTGCAGATGTTTATGTCGACAGCAGAAAATTTGTTAACTTCATAGTGTAATCAGGATAGGACACTATAACCTTGAATGACCCTGAACTAAGAAATTTAAGACCATCATATTTACCCTTTTAAACAGTAAAATTTTCCTCTTTATAACTTTCCCTCATCTTCAATTTTAATATTTAGGAATTCTGTTTCTTGTGAATCACCCTGAATATTATATTCTTTATAAATGGGTAAATACAAGTGGACTCAGTAATCGTCAAACGAAGGTCAATCTACTTTCGACTTCATTTTGTAGGTTATTAATGTGTAGATTGTTATACGTTGTTGTTTAATGGTCGTGGTTAAATTGGAATGAAAGATTCTAGTATCTTATGTATATATAAAAGCGATCATTTACAGAAGAATCATGTGTAATCTGTGTGTTTGTAGTCAGTTGTTCGATTTCTGTTCGTAATAATCCGCCATTACTCGCCAGGCCCGCGGCGACATGAATCCCTCTGGCGGATTTTCACCGGATTTCGCTAATTCTGAAAAACAAAAATGGCGGCGTGTTAATGGGGATTCTGCGAACAGTTTCGAATCCGTTATTGAAATTCTTGATTTATTTAAGGATGTTCATTCTGAAAAACGACGCTACGATAAGTCTGATGTTCATTTATTTCGTTAATAAATGATTTTTATAGTGAAGACAAAAGGAATGGCTTTTTTTAAATGATTATTGCTAAATAAATATTACGAAGTCTGTATTAAGTTAACAGCAACTTCGTGCATTAATATTAATTGTAATATGTTATTTTCATGTCAGCATTCTCTAATAACGTTTAATATTAACATTATTGTATTAATTAACTTTGCGTAAATATTAATTCTGCACATTAGTATTCTATTAGAATTTTCATTCATGACGTTTATATAAATACTGGATAGACATACGAATGTCATGTGACGGCTATATTGAAAATGTCTCACTGATTCCATAAAATATAATTTCTTAAACATTGAAGTTACACCACATCATTAATGTTAATTTTAAATATTATCTTCTCTTAGGAATATCAATTTGACATATTAATATTCTATTGGAATTTTTATTCATGAGGTTAATACGAATATTGAATATTCATAATTCATCTGGCGGCCATATTGAAAATTCACATTTACAAGTGCTCCGTTAATTCCATAAAATTTCATTTCTTAAATATTTACGTTATACTACACTATTTATTTATATTTAAAAGGAGACTGACCTCGCATTTTAGTTCCTGATATGAAACTGAAGTCCTGAGATCGTTCTGGCTCGAAAAATGCCATTTTTTTCGCCCTGTTGTCATAAGCAGCCACCCTAAACGGTATTATCTCCAGATTCTGGAGCCCAGGCGCCATCGATAACACTCTTGCTCCGTGTGTCGCGTCGTATAAATTACCTAACGGACACAGACACAAATATTTATTTATTTACAACAAATTTTTAAAAACTTGCCTTTTTATACATTCTTAAGGTAAATGAAATCTAAACCTCTTATCTATTGTCAATTAATTTTCAGTATTTAATTCAATATTTTGTATTAATGCGAGTTCGATTCATTACTGTTTAGTGTTAACATTGATTTTGAATAGTAACTTTTTCCAATTGATGTTAAACTCGAAGTTTTATGGGAATTAATTCTATATCAAAACCATGATATTATACATTTCATTTAAGCTGTTCAAAGTATATTTTTATATTTAATATTTATAAATTCCAAAAAATTGTGAAAAGTGAAATTTTCATTATTTTTTGCTTACCATCCGGCGTTTTTGACTTGTCGGGATGTGGTAAACCAGCAGGATCCCGGCCGACGATATAAAAATCGGCTCCAGCTATCATTCTTGCTTTCGCGTGCCATTGTACCTACGAGAAAATGGTAACAATAAATACCTAATCCACTGGACAATACAGTCGAGTCACTAAAAATCTATTATATGCTACTAAAAAAAATGATTTCAGAATAGGTAATTAATATTAGCTTGAGACACAAGAGCATTGCAGAGATTGAAATCAAAATAAATTTTGTTATTAAGGTTCATTTGAAGTAAACACTTCGTCAATGATTTTACTATGTGTACTGTGTCGAATTACAGGAATTTTTTTATGATACAAATGGATAAAATTTGTGGTTCATTAATAATCGTACCTCAGTTGGTCCTGCGTACAACATTGGACTCGGGAAAATCGCGAGGATCGTGTCCGAATGTAATAGACCTTCTTCAAGGACGCTTTGATGTTGCTTTATTCTTACTGGCAACGGTACGTCGTCCATTTTCGTCCATCCTCCCAGAGGATGCAGTAGAAGTACTGGCCTTTTGAAGCCTCGCTCCTCCACGAGGTATTTTCTTGTGTCCTAATATAAAAAAATGGTACCACTACAGGTAATAATGTCTTGACACCACAACATGGAGTCATTGAAGATATATAATAATGTCTTAACGTCAAAAAAAGTGCCATTGGATGTAATAATGTCCTGGCACCATAAACTAGTGTCATTAAAGGTAATGATGTCATCACACCAAAGCATGGAGTCACTAAAGGTAATAATTTCTTTATACCATCAAAGGTGCCATTGAAAGTAATAATGTCCTGGCACCAAAACATTGAGTCACTAAAGGTAATAATGTTTTAATACCAAAAAAGGTACCATTGAAGGTAATAATGTCTTAATGCCAAGAACTAGTGTCATTAAATATAATAATGTCCAAGCACCAAAAAATGGTATTGTTAAAGGTAATAATGTCCTAATGCCAAAAAAAGTGTCATTGAAGATAACATTTTTAAGCATTTTTCAACGTTACTTGTTTTAAATGCTTATATTTTCATAAAGTCTAACATAAACAAATGGCAGTTTAAATTAGTTGTAAGATGGATGTACTTGAAAACTCAGGTCAAAGTGGACCCAGACATCGCTAACTGCTGTCTAATTGTTACTAATGATTGGACTGTTATTACATGTTTAGGCATTTACAGGATCTTCTACATTAAAAAATCCAGTAAAATATAGAATATAATAAAATTGATTATTAACATCTTAAAACCCCTAGTACCGAAAATAAAATTTTTTCGAATTGTAATTTTCATATATTAGTAAAAAGAAATTGTAAATTTGAATTGTATTTACCTGCATTAGTAGCGCATGGCCGTTGTGTATCGGATTCCTCAGCTGAAAAGCGAAGACAACATCGGCGCCCATCCCTTTACACTTCTCCCGTATTTCATTAGGGGTCAGTCTATATTCGTCGAGGCCGTCGTTCCACCTGATTCTCTCTAGAACCTCCAGTTCTCCTCCAACCAGCCAATCTCCCGAATTCTTGATCATTTTAATGTATGGATGACCTGGATCGTTGGTTCCAAACTCCCTGCAACACCTGTATCAATTTTCCCTTCTTTATTCACGTATTAATTTGTCCAATTAACTATACTTTGATTATTGATGGTGATAATGGCACAAGTTTATTGAATGTGTAATAATTGTGTTAATTGTATTTGCAATTGTGATCGAGGACTGAATAGAAGAACAGTAAAAGAGTTATAAAAATTCAAAATTCAAAATTTTTAATTTAAAATACAAAATTGAAAGTTAAGAGTTGAAAGTTAAAAATTGGTTTATTAACTGTTTTGTAAATAGTTTGATCAAAACCTTTCTTCCTTTCGGTGTGTGAAAAATTCTGGTTTTCGTAAAATAGCAATGGATCGACCCTCGTATTTCAAAGTCAGCGCCTGCGCGTTACTGCATCTCTCCTTCTGATCCGTGGTGACCGGAAGTACAATAGGTACAGATTGACTGACGACATTTCCATTCTGTTCCAATGTCTTGAAGTGTTGACACTGAAAAATCAATTATTTTATTTTATCTTATTAACAATTACTCACGGTTTGTTATTAGAGGAAAATTGGTCAAATATAGGATAGTGTACTTAATATGGACTAGTATACTATTTTTTTAAATCTGACTTTCTTTAAAGTAATTTTTCCCCACCTGTAGGTATTCATTTTCTCTCATGAAGCCCCTCAGAGGACTTGCCCAACCCTCTGCCAGTACTTGGACCCATTGCAAGTCAATACCTGTGATTTCGATGCCTGAAAATGTTAGAACAACAAAAGCAAGGATTTTAGTCGTACATTACAATCTTTCTTTTTTCAGAAATTTGAAAACAATAATCCTCAAAACCCCTCCACCCCTGTCTGAACCCCATTTAACTACCCCCAATAACCCTAACAAGTCCTTAGCCTCTCTACCCCTATCTGAACTCTAATTGACTACCCCCAATAAACCCTAATAGTCTTTACAAGTTTGCTACCCTTAGTCCACCAACTGGATAGCTTAAACTCCCTCAAAACATCGTTAGAATCCCCTAAATACAAGGACATACTGATAAGGTCCTCCGCCTCTTTCCTAGCTTCCTCGACCATCTGACCAGCGACAAAAAGCTCCTCCACCCCGGTCTGAACTCTAGCAACGATTCCTTCCCTCTCCAAGAGCTCGATCACCATCCCCGTCGACGTCTCAACACTCTGAACCTCCGTGTTCACCACCAAATCAGGATGTGCAGGTACTTCGTACTGTTGACCAAGTCCAGTGAACCTCTGAATCGCGCCTGTCCTCGCCTTTTTATACAGTCCCTTCACGTCCCTCGCCTCGCAGGTCTCGATCGAGGCCTGTACATAAACCTCGAAGAATTTTAAATCGACTTCCTCCAGAATTCTTCTTGCCAATCGTCTGTCCGCCTCGAACGGCGAGACGAAACTACATATGGCGATCACGCCACAGTCGGCGAACAATTTCGCGACTTCTGCTGCACGACGAACATTTTCCTCGCGATCCTCCTTCGTGAAACCGAGATTCCGGTTCAGACCACGACGGATGTTGTCCCCGTCGAGGCTGTACGCTGGCACACCCTGTCGATAAAAGTTAGTGGATGAATGTTAACGACACGTGACAATAAAGTTCCGAGAATAGACCGTTTAAAAATATTATTTTGAAAATTGTAGGGCTGTCAGGTTTTCGAAGTAGCTCCGTTGTGGTTACTCTTTCCGGTACAGTCTGCTTTAATGCTTGCGTTACATTACAAATCTATGACAATAATGTTTCGAGAATGAGGCTTTTAAAAATTTTATTTTGAAAATTATGCGGACGTTAGGTCGTCGCCTTCGAAATAACTCCCTTGAGATTACACTTTATGGTATCTACTTTAATACGAACATTATATTACGATGTGTAACAATAAAGTTTCGAGAATAAATTGTTTAAAAATTTGATTCTGAAAATTGTGGGAATGTGAGGTCATCACCTTCGAAGTAGCCCATTAGAGACTATCCCTTTTGGTAGACATTTTCTGGAATCTGATTTATTACCCATGTTACGATAGAAGGTATGACAATAAAGTTCCGAGAATAGACCGTTTAAAAATATTATTTTGAAAATTGTAGGGCTGTCAGGTTTTCGAAGTAGTTCCGTTGTGGTTACTCTTTCCGGTACAGTCTGCTTTAATACTTGCGTTACATTACAAATCTATGACAATAATGTTTCGAGAATGAGGCTTTTAAAAATTTTATTTTGAAAATTATGCGGACGTTAGGTCGTCGCCTTCGAAATAACTCCCTTGAGATTACACTTTATGGTATCTACTTTAATACGAACATTATATTACGATGTGTAACAATAAAGTTTCGAGAATAAATTGTTTAAAAATTTGATTCTGAAAATTGTGGGAATGTGAGGTCATCACCTTCGAAGTAGCCCATTAGAGACTATCCCTTTTGGTAGACATTTTCTGGAATCTGATTTATTACCCATGTTACGATAGAAGGTATGACAATAAAGTTCCGAGAATAGACCGTTTAAAAATATTATTTTGAAAATTGTAGGGCTGTCAGGTTTTCGAAGTAGTTCCCTTGTGGTTACTCTTTCCGGTACAGTCTGCTTTAATACTTGCGTTACATTACAAATCTATGACAATAATGTTTCGAGAATGAGGCTTTTAAAAATTTTATTTTGAAAATTATGCGGACGTTAGGTCGTCGCCTTCGAAATAACTCCCTTGAGATTACACTTTATGGTATCTACTTTAATACGAACATTATATTACGATGTGTAACAATAAAGTTTCGAGAATAAATTATTTAAAAATTCAATTCTGAAAATTGTGGGAACGTGAGGTCATCCCCTTCGGAATAGCTACCTCAAGAGCACCCTTTCTGGTGTTTACTTTAATAGTTGTGTTACGTTCGGGTGTTTGACAATAAAGTTTCGAGAATTAACCGTTTAATAATTCAAGTCTGAAAATTATTGGAATGTGAGGTCATCGCCTTCGAAGTAGCCCATTAGAGACTATCCCTTCTGGTAGACACTTTCTGGAATCTGATTTATTACCCATGTTACGATAGAAGGTATGACAATAAAGTTTCGAGACCCGTTTAAAAATGTTTATTCCGAAAATTGCTCGGCACGTGAGATTACGATGACCTCGATATACTTTGTTGAATTTTGGCACTAAAATTTTCTAATTGATTTATTCTCGAAAGTTTATTGTCACGCCTCGTATCGCGTTTTTTGGAAAGTTCGTGAGCGGATTTTCAGTAGGTAGCATTTTTTAGTTGTGACCTTACCTGAGAAATGAGGTAATTCTCCAGCTGAAACGAGATCGACGTCTTCCCGGCGCCTGAAAGTCCCGTTAACCAAATCGTACAGCCGCGAAATCCTTTGATTCTCCCGTATGACTCTCCTCGTTTCTCTCTCGACACGTGATGGATCTGTTGTGTGACGTTCGAGGCGAGGATCTATCAATCCGTAACAAACATACTTTGCAATATAAATATAAATAATACTTATTTTTTTAAATAAATTATTTTTATCCATTCATTAAATTATTAATTAATTATATTATCAATATAGAGTTATTTTTATTAGTTATTTTTAATATTATTACATACATTAATATGAAAATTATTATTAATGTTATTATTAAACTCGTCGGATTCTCTTAAGTTTTTATACATTCCTTTCTCCTTATATTTTTTGTTAAAGTTTTATTTTGTATAAGATATATTTGCAATATACATTTAGATCAAAATTGTATACAACCAGAAAAAAATATTATTCTCTTCATTTCTTGTTGTATTTATAACACAATGATCTTCTTTACTAAATATCTTGCTGTCATTTTTTATATTTATATTATATGATTCAGACGTTTCCTTTTATTTTCTTTTTTAATGATTTTATGGTGTTAAGAAATTTAAATTCTCTTTAAAAATATTTTATGCGCACACATTTGATTGCACATCATGTATAATTATTTGATAAACGACTTCATTTACTATGTAAACATTTTCTAGATATAAACAGACGGTTAAAAAGTAAAGTAAATAAATAATTAACTAAAATACCCATAATGCAGTACCTTATCGACTTTTCGCCGTGCAGATCGTTCCTCCGCGTAAGAATTCATGTACATTCCCATTTTGTACAATATTGCAACCAATTTCTCTTGTTTACAGCTTTTATAACAATATTAATATTATTTATACAATAATGAATAATCTTCTACTGAACTAATTAATTCAGTTTGTTTCTTTTTTTTATTAACGAATCAAAATAGAATCACTTAAATTTTGAATTGCGTAGTTGTGTCACGTGAACATAAATAAAATGTCATCGTTTGGATTACGTTTCAAATTGTACACTTGAGGACAGTCGAGAAGAGAGCGCTCTGACACATGGTTCGGAGACGACTGGTCGAAGAATTTGAGTTCTGTTCAACGAGAAAGTGAAACGAAAGTAACTGAACCCGGTAGTGGGAACGGAAAAATTTCTCGGGATACTTGAATACTAAAAAGAAGGTGATCATGGATCGTTGGATCTGATAGAGAACATGAAGCATAAGATGCTACAGTTTGCGTTGTGCTTACATAACTATAATTTAATAATATTTTTTCGTTATTACAATTTATTTCGAATTTCAGAAATTAAAGAGAAAAATTTTCTATTCAGGATTCCATTGACTTACAATAACTTCTTTATTTCCAGGTAAATTATTTGATATAATTAGACTGCGGATGTTATGCACATACAGCCTATAGGGGACTTCCAAATACAGTAAAAGACAGAACTTTCATCAGAAGCAACGAATTTTCTATTTTATTCTTCACCCAATAAGATACTTAAGAGAAGAAAGACATTCCTACATTTGCACGTGTCTTTATAAATTTCTTATTTTGCATAAAAATCCGCAGATATTAGTATGAATGCCTTCATCGATGATCGACTGTTAAATAAGATTGTTAACTATAATTAGGGGATATGGTACAGAACATACTGGAGCCATAAAGTTTGCACTCTTCGCTTAGTTAATCTAAATTGATAGTGTTTACATTAAGTGAATGTACGTTTAATTATATTCAGTCGTGACGTAACTGTATTATACACTTTGAAACATTACTAAATAGTAATGTAGTAATTACGTAATGATAAGAACATGGTCGTAGCCAAGTTATCAGTCGGGGGGGGGGG